GTGTACATTCAAAAATGAAAATACGAATACGGAAAACTAACTAGTACGCTCGATGCGACGGGATCCAGCGTAACAGCAAAGTCCTACCGTCTTTTCGTCACCGATAAAAAAAGCAAGCTTACTTTCCTTATCGACACCGGAGCAAATATCTCAGTGTTACCGCCGAAGCAAGGACAGAAGTTGAAGCCACTAGATTTTCAACTCTATGCAGCAAACAATACGGTTATTCCTACATATGGAGAAAAAACAATGGAACTTGATTTTAATCTACGCCGACCATTCAAATGGAGATTTATCGTCGCTAAAGTCAGCAAACCAATCATCGGTGCTGATTTTCTTCAACATCACCAGTTGGTCGTCGACATCAAAAATAGAAGAATCATCGACGGGAAAACCAATCTTGCATCTCAGTCTTTTGTACAAGCAACCAATCTGCCCACAATAAGAAGCATAGATGTGCAACAACCGTATCACAAGATCCTCGAAGAATACCCTGGTATCACAAGAATAACTTCAATGAAATTAACACCGAAGAACGACGTTGAGCATTTCATCGACACCAATGGACCACCACTTCATTGTCGTGCACGTCCAATCGCACCACACCTATACGAGCAAGTTCGAAAGGAATTCGAAAACATGATTGAGCAAGGAATATGCCGTCCAAGCAAAAGCCCTTGGTCATCACCACTTCACATTGTACCGAAGAAGAACGGAGAATTACGAGTTTGTGGAGATTACAGAAGACTGAATTCTATTACCACTCCTGACCGCTACCCAATACCGCGAGTCAGGGATTTCACTCATCAACTATCAGACAAGACTATATTCTCCACCATCGATCTCAACCGAGCTTACCAACAAATAAGAGTCCGCGATGAAGACATAGAGAAGACAGCAATAATTACCCCAATGGGATTATTCGAATTCCCAAGAATGATCCCAGGATTAAAGAACGGAGGTCAAACTTTCCAAAGATTCATACACGAAGTACTTCATGGACTGGATTTCGTTTTCGCATTTATTGATGATCTCCTTGTTGCAAGCCCTGATAAAGAAACGCACGAAACCCATCTACGCACCGTGCTACAGCGATTAGAAGACAACGGAATCACAATCAACCCTTCGAAATGCATATTTGGACAGCAAGAAGTTCAATTTCTTGGTTTCACCGTCAGCAAGGAAGGAATAAAACCGCCTGCCGAAAAAGTCAGAGCAATCATCGATTATGCAAAACCTAAAACTATCGAAGAGCTAAGGCGTTTTGATGTGCACGCTGCTACAGCGGTTAGTGGCGTCTTTCCTGGAAGACAGGAAGTTCTACGTCTGCGTAGAGGACGCCGAGTCCGCTACAAGAACCATCAGAGCCGGCGTCCCACAGGGCAGCTGTCTGTCACCAGTCCTGTACGCAGCTTACACCAACGACATACCTACACTGGCAGGCAGGCTCAAAGAGTGGGAGGACGACGTCGAGCTGGCGCTATACGCGGACGATAGCGCCTATTTCACCTCGTCCAGAAGAGCCCACATAGCCACTGCCAAGATGCAGCGTCTGATGGACCTGCTGCCACCATGGCTGGATGAGTGGAGGATGGTCGTCAACGTTGGTAAGACGACCGCTCTGCTCACTCGCCGTCTCAGGAAATTTCCACCTCCGCTGACCCTCAATGGTCAGAAGATTGCGTACCAGAAGGCTGTAACTTACCTTGGGTGCAGGATCGACAGGACGCTGCGCATGACCGCGCACGTCGACTTCGTCGTCCGCAGGGCCCGATGTGCGCGGGCGACGCTCTTGCCGGTCCTGGCATCCAAGTTGCCGATAAGAACTAAGATCCGGATATACAAGATGTATATCCGGACCATCATCACCTATGCTGCACCGGCCTGGTACGCACTTCTGAGCGACCCTCTGAGGCGGCGACTGCAGGCCCAGCAGAATCTGACATTAAGGACGATCGTCGGAGCAGGTCGCTACGTCCGGAACGACGTAATAGCGGCGGACTTGAAGATCGAGAACATCACCGACTTCGTGGCCCGGCTAGCGCGCGGCATGTTTGACCGTGCCGATAACGGGCCACATGAACACCTCAACGGCTTTGCGCCGTTGCACACCCGGCCACCGGACGGGCGACCTCTTCCAAGAGAACTCCTCTCTATATGTGATTAGAGAGTCGAGTAACAACCCACAATGCCGCTGAAAGGCCAACTTCGACTTCTATTGGACAACCTCTCTTTTTCCCGTAATTAACCAATTACGGGAAAAAACATTACCGATTACGGACTAACCCGGACTTACTATATTATGCCTAAATAGGCTATAAGGACTGGCCCATAGTGATGGGCCATGAGGAACATCCGGGTAATGGGGGTACACCCCGAGGCCCGACACCTGCATTGTCCCACAGGACATTGTAGACGACAGTCAACGCTGCAATTCGTGGTCTCGTCCGGACCGCGCCAACGAGCGGTCACGTCCGCCGGTCGTCGACTCCCGCCCGGGTGGGAGACGTACAGCGCGTCGCCTTGCAGTGGGTGCGCGCGCTGTGGAGCCAACTCGGCTTGGTGGGGCCTTGAGGACGCCTCTGACCCCACCCGGGATGAAGATCACCCAACGCTGCGTTTCACCTACACGCTGGGAAGCGAACTCCGAAGGCCCACTAAAGTTTTCATTAAACATTCTTATAAAGACTTGGATTTTCAAGAAATCCAAATCACTAGAAAACAATTAAAGGCTCAAGACATTCAAATTAAACCAGCATACAGATGCAAACCTAAAATAAAAGAAAATAAAAAGAAGGACCTTATAAGTTTAGTCTCTAATTCTAAATAAGAATTTGGTACTGGCGGTGTATGTACATACAGACTCACTTTAATTTATAATATTATGTTTTAGATGATTGATATTATGTGATGATGACTGAAATTAGTATAAGAAAAAACATTTTTAAGTGATTTTTGAAGTTCCTGTTAGATTTAAAAAGATAAAGTTCATAGTTTAAGAACTATTTTAATAAAGATGTTTATTAATACATGTTGTATTATTATTAGTTGTAACACCACCATAATCTAAAAAAGTGTCATATTTTGGGATTATTTACAATTATTAAAAAAAAAACATTTATAATTGCAATTGCTGTTCTAACTTTGATTTTCCTTTTTTTATTTATTTATCAAAAGGATTCTTACATATTTGCTTGATTTGTACCTTAAACCAATAATGGTTTGTATTGGTACTCACATTCGCAACTAACGCACTGCTTTACATAAATATTTAATTAATTTACTAAAAGTTAAAAAAAACGTATATACATATAAATACGCCTTCTTTATTGTGTAAGTGGTAAGCACCCATTTGCAATTCTCACCTGGGACTATTCGACGAACCGGTTCTATTAGGCAGCGCAAACTACTTAACTTTATACAGACTGTTTTACTATTATACAAACTAAATTATAACTATGATTCTGATTGATTTTATAAGACGAAGTTCTTTATATTATCGTAATAATATTTTTTGAGTTTTTGTTTATAGCTTTTTGTGTTTAAATCTTTTTGAATGTTTTGCGGGTTATAAGAGTTGGGATTAAAAATTCAATACTTCGCCTACCATAGTAATTTGAGATCCTAGGCACAATTAATTTTTGTTTGGTAACATTTCTTGTAAATACTGTATGAGATACGGGTACTTGGATGCTTTTATTATTGAATTGTTCAATTAATAGGGTCATGTGAAGTTTCATCTGCGTAGGTAAAATATTACAGTAATTAAAAATGTCTAATACGTTTTCTTTATATTGTTGTATTATTTTTTGGGGTACAATAAGTTCAAGTAATCTTAGCTGTAGTTTATATATTTTTTCAGTATATGACTTAAAGGTTCGTCCATAACTTGAGATTCCGTATGATATAATTGACTCAGCTAAGGCTGTATATATATTCAGTAGGATTTTATACGGTACTTTAGGTTTTAAGATATAGAATTTAGCCAGTATAGCTCGTAACTTCTCACAGAGAGAATCTATGTGATATCTCCAGCAAAATTTATTGTCTATAATTAGTCCTAAGTGTGATGCGTTACTTGTTCTATTGCCTCACATTTACAAGCGTTAGATGAAGTTGTTTTGTGCAGACATCTGTGACTGTGAGCAACAATCTGAAAATACGTGTTGTGTTTTCGATAGCTCGAGTGAACGTGAATCACTATGGTTTCATTTGCAATCAAGACAAGTCCCGCATCATGTGACCATTTGGATACCTGTGTAAAATCCTGCTGCAGCCATTTAAGCAAGCATTCAAGCCAAAAGCCACGTGTCATCTGCGTATTGATAAAATGAACAATGGTTGCTTGGTATGCTCCATATCGTTGACGTATGCTAAATAGTGCAAGGGTCCAAGCACCGACCCTTGAGCTGTTCCTTCAGTAACATCTATAGCGTCGCTGACTTCATCACAAATTTTAACCTTATATTTGCGATTATTGAGGTAATCTTTGAACCAATCTAAAATTGGACCGCGTACACCGGTATTCTCTAGTTTTTTTTTAAAGAATATCGTGTCGAAGCGTATCAAACGCTTTGCTGAAGTCTATGAATAACAGAATTACGTGGTTTCTGTCATCTAGATATTTGTTTACATCATCTGTAAATTTTGGCAGCAGTTTAGAGGTAGATTTTTTAGGTTGAAAACCGTATTGTGAATTTGATAGGATGTCATTTTTAATATAAAAGTCTTGTATCTGATTACAAACGTATTTTTTTACTATCTTACCTGTGACTGGTAGGATAGTAATTGGTCTATAGTTGCCATAATCACTATGACTACCTTTTTTTATATATCGGTCTCACAATACCTATTTTTAATTCATCTGGATACTTTGCTTGGCGTTTACTATTATTAACAATATATGGGGGTATATACCAGCGAAAGTTGTTAATATCTGCACAATTTAATATTTCTTGATGGTCAGAAAAGAGGACTTGGGTTACTAATTTTGAAATCTATTACCGCTTGGAACTTTGGCTGATTATTTCCAATAATACTGAGAGCTTCTCAATGTCAGCTTCGCTTCGAGCGACCTTAGGCTTGGATTTGTCGTTTTTACGTAGTAGCACCTTTCCATCTTGGAACCAGACGTATTTGTAGGCCGGTCTTAGTTTTTGTTGTGCTAGCCATAATAACGACTTATTGGCTTTGGTCAGGGCGCGTCGTATGGTCACTTTCATCTTAGCAACTTCCACGGGGGCCTCGGAGATGATTTGTTCTACCACAACTACTTCCTTTTTCGAGGCTCGCACCCATAAGCTTACATTTTCTGCATGCTTGAACTGCACCTGGATGTTTCCATCTTGGTTATTTCGACCTTCTACACGTGTAATATTCACTACCTGCGTCCTGTCCATGTTGAGTGTCTCAGATAGTTTGAGAGATATGTTTACAAGGTTTCGTTTTTAGCTTTAGGAATACCTATCACTTCTATCACATTGTCTAAACGCTGTTGTTCAATACTACGTAGATTTCAGTGAGCTCATTTCAAGCTCAAGATGGGTTTTTTCATTATGAAGGTAGTTGTACTTCTTTTCTAATTCCTGGATATGTTTGTTTTGAGCTTCCACAATTTTGAAAAGATCATCAATTTTTGTACAATGCAGAAGCAAAGAAGCAGCTCACTGCTTCGATTGGTTGAAGTTCTTTCTTTAAAACTTTTTTCATTTCTGCTGTTATATCTTTTCAAAACTTCTCTGTGTCTATCATACATGCCTGAGTTATTGTCAGAGACCGCAACATCATTGTCGTCATCGTCTTCTTCCGGAATAATGAAGGATGACTTTCTGTTAGGTGTATTCTGATGGCACTCTTCGCATGTCCAGTCTAGTCTGTCCACGTTACGAAGCGCAGATATTTGCTTCGCGTGAGACCAGAGCAAGCTTTACTAGCATAAACCACCTTGCCACAGGATCTGCATTCCAGTCCGGGTACCTTTGTGGTTATCCCTTTGTTACAGATGTCACATTTAGTCATTTTCTTTTCATATTGAAATTTTATTTAGGAGGGTAGTTACCAAACGTATAGAAAAGTGTTAACACAGAACCGACACACACAGAGTGCGAGGAAAAGGAGCTTATTAAATTTTACATTAAATAAAATTATAAGAAAAAAATATCAGCCACCCTGAGGTGACTACATCGTATATATATTTAAAAGAAACTTAAAATGGCTATTACCCAAAACCCGTTTTTAGTGATGTGACAGTTTTTTAGAGGATGTGCGATATGTTCTAACCAAATGGCACACGCGCGTGCGCGCACTCACACACATGCACGTACTTGCGTGCGTATATATAGGTACCTTTAGCGCGAATATTATTAGTTTGTTATTTTAATTTTTATAGTTAATTATTATGCAAAGATTATGCAAACTCGCTTACATTACTAGTAAGTGCTATGGAAGAGTGGAGTCGCCTAACACAAATTGTTATACTGAAAAGGAGACCTCATCCCCGGTTATAATTTATGTACATATGATCATTTACTGAATAAACTATTTTTGTTTATTATTATTATTGAACCAATAATAGAAAAATTTACTACTTTTTGTAATACTTTATTATAAAATCTAAACAAAAAATGAAAACCTGTTCGGCAGACAAACCCGAATAGATTAATTAACTTATCGATAGCTAAAGTTTGGCTCGCATCCACAGAAATCTAAATATAAATAGAAGTCGTAAAAGCGAGTGACCTTGACGCCGCACATGTGACTCGTAGGCCACAAGCTCGCGAGGAGCGTTTGTTACGGTCACCAGTACTGTTTCGGACGTAGAGACGTAAAAATGGTGTTTTGAAGCATATCTAACTGCGGAAATTCCTCCACAACTTGCAAATTTTCAAATAAAGGGATACCATTCCATAAATACTTAAGTACTTAGTGTTTTAAATAATGTTGTGTTTAATAAAGTATACTTAAATAAAATTATCCACCTCCAGTACTACGATTGTCTCCGAAATTTTAATTATTTTAACATTTCAATATACATTGATTCCTAAGCTAGTTAATGTCTACGAGTGCGACAGCTAAACTCAGCGATGGATTTATAGTATGGGCAATAAACAAAATTGTTGCGTACGTAAATTTCCCAGAACATGGCCGCAGGAGTCGAATGCGGGTCAGTTACGTGACACAACTATTTCGTATCGATAATTTATTATGTTTGGTTTACCTAGTTTTAATGAAACGGGAATTAAATTTGATTTTTCGTTAAATATTTATTTAAACCTTTCTACTTTTTTTCTTTCTAAATATTTTATACCGTTAACCGTTTATCGCCGATTATCTGTTTGTTTGTACTTTTAAATTATTTGATAAAATTTTAATCAGTTATATTGTACGGATAAGTAAATATAAAATATATCGGCATTAATAAATCTAATCCTCCGGAATATGGCGCCTCTTTCAATTTGGATGACATTAATCGTCACTTTGTTTCTATTACTTCATTGGACCCTCAAGTCCGTTCTCAAACTATTGCTTCTATAGAATCAATGCAGCCTCTCCGGATCCCTGACTTTCGTTTCTCCCCTGTTACTCAGGATGAAATTACAAAAGCTCTGTTAGCCATTAAATCCTAGGCTGTGGGTTTTGATGAAATTAGTAAGCAAATGGTGTATATGATTCTTGAGTACCTTATTCCAGCTATAACACACATTATAAATTATTCTCTGGACTCAGGTCAATACCCCTTCTGCATGGAAAAAGGCTTTTATAAGACCTCTTCCTAAAATACCTAATCCTGTTTTCCCTAACCATTTTCGTCCTATTTCAATTCTCCCATACCTCTCTAAAGTTCTGGAAGCCTGTGTTTTTAAGCAAATATCTGTATTCGCTGCAAAACATAACCTGCTGAATGAATTTCAATCGGGGTTTCGCTCAGGTCACAGTACTACCACTTCGCTTATCAAAGTCACAGACGATATAAGAAAGGGCTTAGATGAGCAAAAATTAACAGTGGTGGTGCTTATTGACTTTTCAAACGCTTTCAACACAGTGGATCATGGTATCCTCCTATCCATCCTTAAACACCTTAAATTTTCATCCCCAGCCTTGGAATGGTTTTCTTCTTATATTCGCAGCAATCGGTTCGCTCAGGTCAGCGGTTTTCTGCATGGGCTGAAATTGAATCTGGTGTGCCGCAAGGCGGAATACTTTCTCCTATTATGTTTTCCTTATTTATAAATTCTATCTCCTCAGTTTTAGATTGTTCGTACCATCTGTATGCGGATGATCTCCAGCTATATGTACAGTCAAGCTTAAATAATCTTACTTTGTAATACACAAACTAAATGATAACCTGGAAGCCATAAGAGAATGGTCATGTAAATATGGCGTTTCTGTTAATCCTGCCAAATGCAAAGTTATAATATTAGGAAGTTCGCAATTATTGGCTAAGGTTGATTATGGAAATCTCTCTCCTGTAATTTATAATGGAAGTTTGATTCCATATTGTGATTCCATAAAAAATCTTGGCCTGTACATGGATAAAACTATGACCTTGAAATTGCAGATCTCTGAAGTTAGTCGTAAAGTTGTTGCTACCTTGCGTTTCCTTTATCGTCTTAAAAATTTCCTACCTTTCAAAACCAAGCTTACGCTGGTTCATTCCCTTATTCTACGTATTATCGACCATGCCGATGTATTTTACCCAGATCTACCAGACAATCTTCTAAACAAGTTGGAGCGCCTTCTTTATAATTCCATAAGATTTATTTTTGGTTTACGTAAGTATGACCACATATCATCCTATCGTTCAAAGCTTAAATGGCTACCTATACGTCAAAGGCGATGCTCTAGAATTTTACTCGTACTTTATTCAATTTTAAACGATCTAAGGTCGCCTTCTTATCTTAAGGATAATTTTCATTTTTTTCATCCAATCGACGGTCGAACATCCCGACAGTCAAACCATCTGAGGTTAAGGTTTCCACAGCACAAGTCAAATTTTTTTAGGTCGTCTTTTACGATACAAGCTATACAACTTTGGAACACCCTCCCCAACGATATTAAGAATGCCACAAATAAAAAAGTTTTCCAAGTTCTTCTCCGAGAACATTACCTGAAGGAAACTACAAATTAACATTATTTTCCTTAATTATTGTCTTTCTTTTCTTCTTTTATGCTTCAAATATTTATTTCATTATATATTATTCAAACATAATATTATATATATATATATATATATATATATATATATATATATATGTATATGTGTATGTATGTACTTTGCATATACAGAATGGGCCCCACATATATGCAATAAATGAAACCACAAGTAATACTAGTCCGTAGAAGTGTAGAAAAATTAAATATTAAATTAAAACCCGTAAAATAAAAAAAGTGAAATTTTCAAACAAAATAAATATTAAAATAAATTCAGTAAAAGTGAACACTCTGTTTAGACAACGTACCTTGACCCCTTGGAAGAGTGACAACGTTGCACGCGGGTGGCACGCCGACAAAAGACACCGCTGTCGATATGTCGCAATACCAATAGTTTGCACTGCGTGGCAATGTCGCTTTTTAATGTTCAAGGATTCAAGTTCATTGAATCATTGACTTAGTGACCCAATTCTGTAGAGTGTTCAAATTTGCTTAAAATTAAAACTCTACTTTTTGACCTAATTACTGGACCGATTACGTTCATTTTTTTGTATATCGTCAGCAAAGGCGATAACAAGTATATGGTTTCATTTATTGCATATATGTGGGACCCATTCTGTATGTATGTTTTGATGTATATATATATATATATATATATATATATATATATATATATATATATATATATATACAGGGTGTTAGTGTAAACACCGTTGTCCTTGAAACCAGTGGTTTGGTTTCACTTATAGAACGTAAATTCAATGAAAAATAACGACTTTTTTTTTAGTAAAATCTAAATTTTTCCTTATTTCCTCAATTTTTGGCTATCCTAAGCCAGGATGAAAGTATGAAGAAAAAGTTATATCACAGGTTATGTGTACCTATTGTGTTTTATGTTGAATGTTGTGAGGGGATCTTTACAGCGATTACGTCACTCGGGCGCATAGGGTATCCATGAATTTACGGACGGTGTCGGACAGACTTTTTAAATTTTATGAAAAAATACATCGTTTATTTTTTTAAATTCATTGAATTTTCGTTCTATAAGTGAAACCAAACCACTGGTTTCAAGGACAATGATGTTTACACTAACACCCTGTATATATTAATGTATGTATATATTTTAATGTAATTATTTACGTAGAATGGGCGCACCTGCCAGCAATTGTCCTTGGCACCCAGGGTTGACTGGCAGAGAATGCCACATGGCATTAAGTCCGCCCTATGTACCCCTTTAGCTTAAGGTGTTACGTGTAAGTTTTTAAAAAATAAAATAAAAAAATAATTATATTGTAAGGATATTAGTCTTAATTCGATCTGTAAGTAGCTGGGAAACTGAAAAGTAGCAAGCAACTGAAAGTCAGTAACAGATATTTAAAACTAATAAAAATGATAAATATGTCACCGATACATATATTTATTCGTTTGCTGTTTGTGTAATGTATTCATTTTATTTATACATCTGTTTATTTAATACAATGCTTTTATTTCAAGTTTCCAAAAGATCCGGTTATTAAAGATAAATGGATATATTTGTTCTTAACGTATTATTATTTCCCCTTTTTTCTAATTATAAAACGTCTAAAAGCTAAAGCTAAGACTAAAAGCGTCTATTACTGAGACAACTTCAGTTAATTAGTTATATCTTGGTGTGAGGCTCCTGGAAGATCAACGACGCTTAATAGACAATTATCGAAACGTGCGTTGAGTTGCACTATGCCCAAGAATGTCATTCTCTGTTTTTCGCACACTTTAATTATTGGACCGAGTGGCTACGCCTCCTGAGATTTTGCGTTTTTATAAAATATTCCTTAACGCAATATTTTATAGATTAATCTTTGTTGCATGAATGCTGGAGATATTAATTTGTAGGCGTTGTGTATTTATTGTTTGTCTATGTGTGAGAGCTATGACCTGGCGACACGCGTCCCGATATTAAAAGACAGTAGAAGGCATTTCTATTGTCTTATTATTTAGATTTCGGTGCACGCATCATTTACGTAGTACTTTCGTTTGCAGCGATACCAGTTAATTTTACAAAAATTGCATACATTTGCTACGAAGTGGCAAAGTACGATTCGACTTATTTGGCCTTTATTTTGTATATTATTTTGATAACAAGATTAGTTATCGATTATATTGAATTATAATATATTCATAATCGTGTTGGGATTGCGCTAAGTATTTAAACATTTGACAAAATCCAGTACACATCTATTAGCTACTAACGAAAAATTTCATATATAGTTGTAAATCGCTTATTTTTCACTTCATGAACTGTGCTGTCAGCAATTGGTATTTTACGAAAATATTCAGAAAATACTATACTACTAAATAATAAAGTATTCACAGATGAAAGTTCTTGTTGTCCTTTTGTAGATTTGACGGTTTTGATTGTTTTTGCATGAAAATACACTGCAATTCGGCATTTTTGTCGGAGCTCAATTAGCTGGCACGATCACTTCCATAATGGTGCACGACGCGGAGCAACTAGTTTTATATAACGGGTATGAGTTGGACTCTCGTATCTTTTATAGAAGGGTATGCTTTGCGACGGCGTCTCCTTTGGTTTTACTCAAAGATTACTAATAACTAAACGATACGTACGATAAAATACGTCAGTCTTTGATCTTGTAGCTACACTCGACGTCTCGTTTTACTCATTACTCTAATTGGTGATTTGTCATCATCACCAAAATCTATAATTCTGTAGTACTAATGCAATATAAATTAAGTTAGTGTACCACAGCATATTTATTTTAACATCTTATACCTGCAGTACACTACTCGCAAATTTGAACGAAGTTGGGCAAAGACGAGTGTGTACAGGGACACTTCGCTTCATTTCAGGCAACCTCGCCTCGCCTCGGGTGACTTCCGATCGTTGTCATATTTTTCTGCCCGAGTCAAAGGACCGAAGTTTCGAGCACGAAGTGACCCTGTACATTACTCGGCTTACTTCTATAAAGTTAACGTTGTGCTGTTTAATTTAAAAAACGTTTTAATTCGATCTCAATTGCTAAAGTCAAAAATCAAAAATTTCGGTGGATTGAAATCATCTACCACCTCCACATAGTTAAAAATACGCAACAGTGCATAAAGCAAACGCAGCTGCCACTTGTACATCCTCCATCTCGCCTAGCGTGCGAGCGACTAGTTCCTCACGAAGTTAAGCGAGTATGTACAGAGGTTCCTTGTACCTCGGCGAACACTTCCGGCTAGGAACTTCGCGAGAAGTGTACGACAGCCTATAAAATGTAAAAGCTAAAATATCACTCGTGCTTACTGTTATCCTACCTCTCCTTGATTATGTGGATGCCTGTTATTTGGATGCTACAGAGGAGCTTCTTAACAAACTTGAGCGCTTGCAAAATCAGTGTATCCGTTTCATACTTGGGCTCAAGAAATTTGACCGTATATCTCAGTTTCGTAAGCAACTCAAGTGGCTTCCTATTCGACTTCGAAGGAACACTCGATTGTTATGTGTCCTCTATAACATTTTGCACAACCCTTCCTCTCCCACATACCTCAGAAGCCGATTTTCCTTCACCCATCCTCCGGACAAACCATGCAGAGCCCTTGTTAAAAATCTTCTTGACTTTCCCGTCTTTAATTCCGGTTATTACTCCCACTCCTTTTCAGTTCACGCGGTAAGATTATGGAACTCACTACCGTCAAATATAAGAAATTCCGAAACTTTGTTGATATTCAAGAAACGTCTTAGAGATAACTACTTTGCATCCTGTTAATTTATATAATATATATATATATATATATATATATATATATATATATATATATATATATATATATATATATATATATATATATATATGTGTATATCATATGTAACTATCGTATCAATTATTATTATTATTTATTGATTTATTTTATTTTATTTATTGTTTTATTTTATATAATTTCCGTAACATTGTGTATATTATTTATTTTTAGTAGTACTAATGTATGCACTAAGTTTGCAATTTAAATATAATTTCCTTTATGGGTCTACTGGAAGATATTTCAGCGAATTTGGAATAAGTAGAACCTTTGTACGTAATTACTATAAGACTGCTTCTGTACCTTAATGTGTGTACATAAAATAAATTAAAAAAAAAAATGTAAGTTGTTCTACAGCTACATTCTACATTTTTTTATTTAACTGACTTTACGGCTCTGGGTTCTAGCCCTTCTGAGCCTATTATTTACTTCGGGATTTTCTTTTTTATAGATTTTTTCTACACAAAATGTTGATGCACCACATTGTGAAGTTTTTGGGCATTAACCTAGAAAAAAGGTCGGACAGAGTCTCGCTAAGAAGCACTGCAATGGCGGCCGCGTAACTATGAGCGTATGGCGGACGTTAGACTTACTATGGTGTACATGTGTGCGTGCCGGTTTGTTTGCATCAACCGAACTGACCTACTATGTGTGCTCAGTAATTGTTTTAAGAAACGGCGTCTGCCCTTTTTTCTAGGTCCATGTTTTTGAGAGATTTTGACGACAGCTTAACCCAGCGGATAGTAGATGACGATAGTCACTCAAATTCATAAAGCGCTTAAGCGATCAAGATAAGTTGAAACAGAAACAGAATCTTTTTTATTCAATGTGGATTATAAACAATACTTATTGATAGTCCATTTTTTTATTTACCACTGGTTCGCAAAAAAAACCTCTGTCCGTGGAAGATCCAGCAAGAAACCCAGCGGAACTATTTTTTTTTTTCAAATAATAGCTTACAATCACGTTTACAATTAACAACACAGGACAAATTAGAAATAGCTTGGTAGCGATCACACTTCCCAGGGGTTATTATCATTCATAAATTCTTTAATATTATAATAACACTTTTTATACAATTTTAGTTTAATAAAAATTTTAAGCTTTGTGTATGACAAATTTTGTTATTTTCTGGGATTTTGTTGTAAAAGCGTATAAATCGCCTCAAGAATGAATTACTGACTCGATGGAGTCGAGTAACTGGTACTACTAGTTTGTGTCTGTTCCTAGTATTTATAGAATGAATATCACTTATTTTTCCAAAACTCAGCAACAGCAACTGTAGCAAACTCTACAGTTTGCTAAACAACTATAACAGCGTAGCGATTTAATGAGTTTACAAGTTGGTTTAAGTGAGAAAAAAGTGTTTTGTGAGCTTAAGATTGGTGAATCTTGTTCTGTTTAGTTCTTAGAACATTTAAAATTTTTATCTAAATGTGTTTAAAAGTCATAAAGATTATTGTATAACCTAAAAATTCGTTATCGTCCTTTCTCACTCGAGGCCCGCCGATCGTTAGTCTATAGCTTTCTCTGTCTACGCGTAAACACGTGTGGACAGCGATTGATTATTGCAAGTGATTAGTAATCTGCGTAGTAAAGTGATTGATTAGAAGCGTGTTCTATTTTTTTGAGAGTGTTCCGTGCGTCCTCCTTCCCCTCACTCGCAGCATGTCTGCCACTAAATACGTCTGGACAGCAGAGTTTAGTATTTAGTGCTTAGCGTCAGATGTAGAATTTCTACGTATAAGTTAAGCTATGAACGTACCGGGGTTTGGAATTAAATAAGTTTATACTAAACTAAGAAACTTGAGATCTACATATTCGCAAGAGGTTGCACGGCGCGGCGCACAACTGAATTTACTAAACACGGCCACTAAACAGATTTGGACACTACTTACACTACACACCTGCACTAATCACCGCAATTACTAATCACCTGCACTCGCACGAATCAAAGTGAATACAGGTCTTCGTTAGGTACGTATAATATATCCGAACTACTCTTTGATATCCGAATTGGACGCCATATTGTAATGTCAGAAGGATAGACGATGAAGTAAATGTTGAACGCTGATTGCGTTTGTATTTAAAAATTGCATAGGTTCTTGAAAAAGCGTTTCTTCAGTCGCGGACTAAAAAAGCTTCAGGTACATAAAACAAAATAAAATCCGATAAGTTAGCTAAAGTTTAATAATGATTCAATCGAATCGATCGAATTTAGATAGGTCGGGGTGTGGTATTTAGATCACGAAGTTCAGGATACTTTGTTTTGTTTTTAATATCTTTGACTATTGCCATGAATTATATGTGAAAAGAAGTGTTTAAGTGAATAATACTAAACATTTAAATAAGTTTGTTAAGTTGTTTGTAAATCGATACCTACGGCTGCGTGGTGGACGTTTTATAGTTTTATTTCGTTCACAGGCGTAGGGTGCATTGCTGCATCCACTAAATCATGAGCTATCAGATACCATCATCGCAAAGCCGCACAAGTAAGTGATTTTGTAATATTATTATTTATGAAATATAAGTAAAGTGTACCATTTTGCTCAACTTCATGTCTAGTGTCTATGCGGAGAAACTCCATCATTGTTTACAACCTTTTATTAGAATTAGAAACCAGTTTTAAATATATAGGCATTATTGTTAGTGGGCTGTTGCTACAATTATAAAATAAAACAATTTCTAAACAGGAAGCTTTTAGCCGCAGTAGCTTATGTGTATAATGTATTATGACTCACTATATGTATATGTACTATGAAAGACTAAATAATTGTAAACATTTAAAAAATGTATAAAGTATTTTTTCAGTGTCTTTTAGTTATTGTTTAATTTTAGATGTTATAGTTATTCTTAAATTTCAATAAAATTGACATTTCAATAATTGAAATTTTTCTCCATAATATCAATATCCAATATGTTTTCTGATATTTATTCTGGATTTTTTGTGTGTTTAAATTTTTATTGTATAACTATTATTAAGATAATTAGGTTCTAAACTTGTTAAGAAATAGGATTGGTCAGTCCCTACTCCATATTCCTATGCCTGCCACAGTCAACAAGTCACAGATACCCTGGTAACATATTGTAGGTACCATGTGAGGTTTGCTGCTGAGGCTGGTTGACAAAGACAACCACTTTATTTAAGTTATCCCTTAACTCTTCTGAAATTCAGATTAATTTTGTAAGTACAGTATAGTACTTCTACGACAAAGGTTATGCTTAGGCTAGGTTTTAAGCATTTCTGTGATTATAGGACGATGATAGGGCTTTCCCAATTTATAGAGTGACAGCCTCTGTGCATCTTTTTATGTGAAATTGGAAGATGTTGATACTAGATTTACCAGTTTGACAAGGATTTGATCAGTAATGTCATTTGCAGTTACTGTGATTTGAAAGACTTCTACAAAGTATTCATGCGTGGGTCGAAAGTTACACTTTGGCCTTCCTTCGGGTTGGCTATAGACATCTGGTACTTGATTTTGATAATGTTTTTAGTCTAGGAGGCTTGTTAGGGTTAAGCTTGAACCTATTACACTGTTTTTAAATGTAGGAAATGTGTTTTGAATTAATTACGATAAAAACGAATTTCACTAAAAATTGTGTAATAAAACGCAAATATGTCAATTTGTTCTCGTATTATGACGTAGATGTCCGGTACTTGATCTTTTAATTTTGTTTTCAATTTAGGAGGATTGTCAGGGTTAGGCTCAAACCATTTACATTGTTTTTGGATTTCAGAAATGCATTTGGAATTAATTAAGATAAAAATAAATTTCACTAAAAATTGCAATAATGAAACGCAAATATGTCCATTTTATTTGTTTATTTGTTTTTTAACACAGATACACTCATAAAAAAGTTAATCACACGGACCCAGAGAATCCATTTGTGGCTGGAGCTTGAGTCACAGGGGAGAGCAGTCAAGAGGATTTTCAGAAAACAAAATTATAACAATTCACATTACATTATTTCATTTACCACTATCATAGCAGAGTTTAGGGCAACTTTATAGATAACCGATGGTCGAATCGGTTCTAAAAGCGAATTAACACACCTTGACTACACATAGTTTTCTCTGCCCTACCCCTAGAGTGTTTTCGTAAAGCCGTAGGCACACAGGGAGAGCAGCCCCCGCCCGCTATAGCAAATCGCAGGCACCTAAGTGAGCCATAGTGGCTGAAGCTGGTCACCGAAGGCGACCAATAAGCCGAAACTGTGGAGACGAGAGGGGGTGCCTGTGATTTGCTACGCAAGGGCGAAGGGGCTGCACTTCCCGCAGTGCCGAAGCAGTTGCAGAAGTAATTTTGTGTCAGTATTCCTGTATAAAAAAGTGAGGTTATGTTTTTACAAAAAAAAATATTATTCATAAAATATATATTTCCTCCTTGGGGAAGGGTAGGGGGGCTTCCCATAACCCCCTTCCCTCTGCCACCTCCCAACACCGTACGGCCGTTGCAGAAGTAATTTTGTGTCAATATTCCTGTATAAAAAGTGAGGTTATAATTTTAAAAAAAAATTATTACTCATAAACTATATATTTCCGCAACGGGGGAAAAGCAGGGGGTAGCTTCTCATGACCCTCTCCCCTCCCCCTCCCAACATTGTATGTGAGTACAGGATGTCTATAGTTTAACCCTTCCTTCTTTTAACTACATACATAGATTCCTTACTAAAACTGATACTTCCCCCAAGATCTTAATTTCTATGTTGAGCTCCTTCAACATTTTTCAGTTCGTCATCATCAGCTTTTTCACCTTTTTATACATTCTATATAATATATATTATAAAACATTCAAAAAAGTAAAATGTTGACATTGTGTTAGATATTTGTTTTTGCTTTTATTATATTTTAATTTTTAGCATTTTTAAAATTTTGTTGCAATATCTCTATAAATAATATAAATAATCTTAAACACATATATACAGAAAAGTCAAGACACAGACATCTTTGGAAGTATTTTAAATGCCTGGTAAGAGAATTCCTAAAATCTTGTCAGCTCCAGATTAAGCTAGTTAGACAATAGATTTGAGACACTTTGTGCCAATAATGTCTAAATCAAAGCATTCTCCACCACCAACTGCATTCAAAAATTCAGGATCTTCCATTGACAATAGAAAAAAATAAATAGTGTATATCAGGCCTATAGAAAAAAGATCATGAAAACATAACTATCCATGTATGTCCAAGTAATCTAGTAGCTCTTAAATCAGAGATGAAAGCACATTTTAAGATTTTATCTGAAACATTGGCGCAGGTTCGGCCGCACATGGAATACTGTTCCCATCTCTGGGCTGGGGCTCCCCAGTACCAGCTCCCTCCACTTGACCGCATCCAGCGCAGAGCGGCTCGAATCGTCGACGACCGAGTGCTTTCCGATCGGCTCGATTCACTGGCACTGCGAAGAGATGTTGCATCCCTTTGCATATACCATGGAGAGTGCTCTGAGGAATTGTTCGGATTAATCCCAGCCGCCAAATTTCGTGAACGCACTACGAGGCAAACGTCCCGATACCATCCACACCATCTGGATGCTTGGCAGTCCACCACTGTACGTTTCAAAAGGAGTTTTCTTCCGCGTACAACCTCTGTGGAATAGTTTACCACCGGCGATTTTTCCGGACCGATACGACCTGGGGACCTTCAAGAAAAGAGCTTACTCCTTTCTAAAGGGCCGGCAACGCATCTGCAGTTCCCCTGGTGTTGCGGTTGATCATGAGCGGGGGAACATCAGGTGAGCCACATGCTCGTTTGCCCCCTCTTCTATAAAAAAAGCAGTTCAAAAAATTGTAAAAACAGCTAACTTTTGAAAGTCTAAAATTTCAATTCGGTGAAGTACGATAATGTGTTTGTTGAAATGGAGCAATATGAAAAATAGAAACTAAAAGATCAAAAACTTATTGCTTCATTAGAAGACAAAATTGATTCCTCAAATGCCAAAGCTACTGGACTTGAAATTCGCAATGTCCCAAAAACAACAGATGAAATTGATTTTAAAACCACCTTTTACTGGAAACCAGGCGGCATTCCATCGTAGTCCTCAGAGGTGAAAATGCAGCTACGTTTTGATTCTTAATCAAGGATAAATGTAGATGTCTATGGGCCACAGCATCCACTTACCATCTGGAGGATTGTGTGCTTGTTTGCCACCCTTACTATTCTATAAAAATTAAAATAAAATGGTCTCATGATCAATGTTGACGAAACAAAGCATTGAGTGAGTATTCAGTCTCCCAAAACTACCTCCTAACCTTAAAATAATATCCCACAATTATTCTGATAACATTCTTTCTCCCAGAACTACTGTCCTAGCCTACCGACTGTCCTAGCCTAGAAAGGGTCCATTCCCTAAAATATCAGGGAATAGATTTTGATGATAGACTCACTTTCAATTTTCACGTTAGCTTGTTGTCTAGTAGGGTTCGAAAATTAATATTTGTGAGAAATCTAGCTGAACCTAATGTTATGTAAAATGATATACTTTGCACTTTGTCAATCAATATTTAGCTACTGTTATCTCTATTTGGGGTGGAGCCCCAAAGACCTACATGATTTTAATTAAGCATGCTCAAAGGGCAGATTCGGAATTATACAAATCATGTGAAGTTTTGACAGTGCAAGCATGCTAATGTACATAAAACTGCTACTACTACTAGCAAATTAAACAGTCCAAAATCAAATCGTCAACAATGCAAAAATACAACTCGGTCGGTACACTTAAAAGCCTCATTTGGCCAACATTTTTATCAATTTCAGATGCTTTTTGTATAAAGGTAAATAATTTATTTAGTGTAAAAACTAAAACTAACTATGAGTGTAAATGAAATATTATTAAGTGGTTAGGTACAAAGACCCACGGTATCTGCCGAAACCCATAAGTTGATATATTATCCACACACGTACGCACGCACACACACGCGCGCACACATACACACACACTTACATGCGCGCGCGCACACACACTCGCACACACATGCACGCACACACACGCGCACACACATACACGCACGCACACACACGCACACACATACGTGTGACGCGCGTAAACTTAAGCCTTACCTTTAGGCTTTTACCATTTTATGAGCTTAATTGTTATTATTTTGTAATTTTTGTATATTGTGACACTGGAAGAGTACTGATGTTTCCAGCTAAGGTTTTCCTATTGTAAGCATCAACTGCAATACTACTGTGTAGAATAAGTTAACATTTTGTATTTATTGTTTAAGGATTCTTTGTATGGTGTGCAAATAGCATATGTATATATTAATAATGATAATATGATCAAAACGAAAAAACGTATTATTGTATATTTATTAGAGTTCACAGAATTAAATAAAACTTAATAGATCTTTCTTTGCTTTTGAAATTGCCATTTTTTTTTTTATGGGAAAATTGATATTACAAAAAAGGAAGCTTTGGTGCCTTAACTTGACAAATTCTTGATATTTTATACGATGAGAATTGATGAACTCAATAAAGGGGTTCTTAACTGCTTCTTCAAAACTGAAAATTTTGCTTATCTAAACTAAAATAAGAGGATTGTTGTTTGGACAGTATACTTGTGAAGGACTGTAATGATGATGATACCTAATATCTTGTTGACAGTGTCACACAGCAGCTATGGTGGATCTGATGTGCCTATGGCTCCAAGCAAAGAGCAGCAGACACTTATGTGGCAGCAGAGTTCTTACCTGGTTGATTCTGGTATCAACTCTGGGGCAGCAACTCAGGTATATATTATTCTTAAATTTTATATATTTCTATTTTACGTAAAGCCCTCCAGGCTGGTCCAATAACTTGTTAACTTTTAATGTTTATGCCAATTGTATAGTGGCGGTGTAAAAATAACTACTGTTTCATACCATCCAGTGGGTGTCGTAAGAAGTGTGCTAGGGAAACAAACCAAGAGATTGGTAGCAGTATCCTCCGGATAATAACTAGAAAATAAAAGACTGCAGTATGCAAACCTGCCTGCCAAGAGTGGCAACTATGACTAGTGTACCCTGTGTGAGGTAATCTATGGGTGAGGCTAACGTTTAACGACAGCGGACTTTTAATAGGCAGTTATGAATGGATGAATTAATGAATGAATGCTTAGAAAACCTTACGAATGCATCAATTATAACAGTTAAAGCTTTATAAACACAATATTTTCCACTTACACTTCACACCTTTTAATAAAGGTTCATTACTATATCATTGTATGATTTTATCCCACTTCTGACACCAATTGTTACGAGCTTGAGGTTCGTGACAATAAAAATTGCCGATAGAATTACCTAAATTAACACTTTAATTTACTTTACACAAATTAAAACTTAAAACACTAATAATTAAACACACTAATTCACTTTATTCCGCTCCGAAGCTTCGCTTGTCTCGCTAAATCAACACTGCCCCGATCGCATCTTGCAGCGCCTATATATACAAATTAGCAATGAAGCATCCGGAATATTCAAGTAAATGCGCGCAAAGCGACGAGTGTGCGAGTGTAGATTTTCTAGAAACTTAGTTCTTCGGATGGCGCTGTCGGTTGAAAGATTTGTGATGTCATTTTCTGCAAAGCTCCCCTCGCTCTCGTTCCTGACACTAGATGGCGCTAGTGTATGACGTTGACTTATTCATGCAACACTGCCCCCTCCTAAGACATGCTCGTCCCGAGCATTATCGGTCCCATAATAACGCGGCCAAGCGATCCACATGGACGATCTTAGGAGTCCCTCTTGCGCCTTTCTGTATCCGGTAGGTCACATCGTTGATCCTGGTTACAATCCGGTACGGGCCGTCCCATTTAGCTTGAAGCTTAGGAGATTTCCCTTTGCTGCGGACTGGATTGTGCAACCACACCAATGAACCTTCGTTGAACCCTTTATTGTTCATTTTGCGGTCGTACCGGGTTTTCATTTTCTCAGACATTTGCTGGCCCGATTGTCTGACGTGCTCATAAATGTCATTCATTTTGTTCCGCAAGTCATTTGCATAATCTGTTATACTGCGTGGGGCATCAGGTGGTATCCCGGTGATCAGGTCTGCAGGTAGCCGTAATTCTCTTCCAAAGTTTGCGAAAGCTGGTGTCACTGCTGTAACTTTCGTGAACAGAACTTCGATATGACAACAAAAACAGGTTGTATGTGCTTGTCCCAATCTCGTTGCCGATTGTCTACAACTTTTGCTAGGTACCTCTCCAATGTCTGATTAAATCGTTCCACCATTCCATCAGATTGCGGATGATAAGAAGTCGTTCTTGTTTTATGAGTACCCATAACTCGGCAATTTTCCTGGAGTATTTGAGACTCAAAATTCCTTCCTTGATCGCTGTGAATCTCTAAAGGTACTCCAAAACGACAGAAGACTTCATGAACTAGTTTATCTGCAACTGTTGAAGCTTCTTGATTTGGAATGGCGAAAACTTCTGGCCACTTTGTGAAGTAATCCATCACAACCATGAAATACTTGTTACCGCTTTCACTCTCCGGAAACGGCCCCGCCACGTCAATGGCTATTCTCTCCCATGGTGCACCAACATTGTACAACTTCAGTGCGCCTCTACTACGAGTCTGAGGTCCCTTTACAGCCGCACAACTTGTACATTTGCGACACCAGTCCTCGACATCGTTTCGACAGTGGACCCAATAAAACCGTTCTCGGATCTTCAGTAGAGTTCGTTTAACTCCCAGATGGCCTCCGGAACAATCATTATGGTACAGCTGTAGAACATCCGGTACTTTAGCTTTAGGGACAACCATTTGCAAATGACAGCTGTCTCCCCTAACATTTTCCCATTTACGGCACAGAACTCCATCCTGAAGCAGCAAGCTGTCCCACTGGGCCCAATAGCTCTTAGTGGTCGAACTCATTGCTGAGACGTCGCTCCACTTCGGCTTGGGAGCACTGGCCTTTATCCATTCCAGAATCGGCTTGATGTCCGGATCTTCCTGCTGTGCATGTTGTAAGCTGTCCTTCCATTCGTTGCTGAGGTGGTCCGTCCTGAGCATCCTCACGGATACCTCTTCCTTACTCTCTTGCCTAGTACAATGGTTGCAATCTTCAGGACAAGGTCTTCGTGACAATGCATCTGCGTTGCCGTGAGATTTTCCGCTGCGATGTTCGATCTCAAAGTCGTATTCCTGCAGTAGTTCAATCCACCTCGCAACTTGTCCTTCTGGATTTTTAAACTGCAATAGCCATTTTAGTGCAGCATGGTCAGTTCGTAAGTGAAATTTTCGTCCCAGAAGATATTTGCTAAAATGCTGCAACGACTTTACCACAGCGAGCAATTCGCGTCTTGTGACACAATAGTTCCTTTCCGGTTTTGACAACGACTTGCTGAAGTACGCTATCACGACCTCTTGGTCACCATTCCGTTGAGACAACACACCGCCAAGTCCTATATCACTTGCGTCTGTGTCAACTATAAATTCTTTGCTTGCATCAAGGTATCCCAAAATAGGTGTTTTGCACAGACGGTCCTTGAGCTCCTGGAATGCGATATTGCAACTTTCATCCCAGCAGAAATGTCGCTTCTTCTCGGTTAGCTTGTGCAGAGGTTTGGCTATATCTGCAAAGTTCTTCACAAATCGCCGGTAATAGTAGCACAAACCCAAAAATGCTCTAACCTGCGTCTTGTCTTTTGGAACCGACCAATCCTTGACAGCGGCGATTTTCTCTGGATCTGTGCGGATACCTTCTTCCGATACTACAGACCCCAAAAAGTTAACTTACCGTTGGAATAGTGAACATTTCTTCGGACTCAACTTGAGGTTGGCACTCTGAATCTTCATGAGCACGCGTTCCAGGTTTTGAAGGTGTTCCTCAAACGTACGGCCTACGATGATGATGTCATCCAAGTAGACCAGACAGGCATCGCCAATTAGCCCGGTAAGTACAAGTTCCATCAGCCTTTCAAACGTTGCTGGAGCATTGCACAACCCGAACGGCATTACTTTAAATTGCCACAGACCCTTTCCCGTCGAGAACGCAGTTTTCTCCTTGTCCTTCGGGTCAATTTCAACTTGCCAGTAGCCACTTTTTAGATCCAGCGTGCTAAACCACTTTACTCCTGTAAGCATGTCCAGCGTGTCATCAATTCTTGGCAAGGGATAGCTGTCCTTCTTCGTAACGTCGTTCACGGCGACGGCGGTAGTCAACACAAAACCGCATGCTGCCATCCTTCTTCTTCACCAGCACCACTAGTGAACACCATGGACTAGAGGAAGGTTCAATAACACCATCCTTCACCATTCCTTCAATCATGGTTTCCACTTCCTTTTCACGTGCTACCGGCAATCTTCTTGGCCGCTGACGGATAGGCAATTCTTCTCCTGTGTTTATTTTGTGTTGAACTAAGCCAGTCTTTCCTATGTCAGCATCGTTTGATGGGAATACATCGGCGTACTTGAGTTGAACACTGAACACTGCGACAGTCTTCCAAAAGTGTGGTCACTCTCGTTTCTGCATCCTTGCTGGGGGTTCCACTCGATATATATTGGCACCGACGTAACCAATCCACTTCCTCACAAGTACCAATCAGTGTGCCTTTTTCTATAATCTGTTCCCGGTCGCAAAGGTTCAGCACACGTACTCCTGAGATGTCAGTGGTCCTGACCAAGGTTCGAGCTACTTTCCATGGAAGGTCATTGTTTACCCTTTCCACAAGTACACAACGGTGAGCTTGCCCAGCGTTTCGAGGAAGACTAACCGGAACAATCGTTTCCGATCTCGGCGGAAGAACAATCTTCTTAATGCTGTACACGTTCCCTGGTAACGCACCTTCCATAAAAAGTTCCTCCTGTCCACATTTCAAAACAACTTGCTTAACGTCGATCTCACAACAATTATTCCTCATAAAGTCTAGGCCTGGGATGCAGTCGTCCATTATATCAGCCACGATGACATTATGCAGGTAGATTACGCTGCCTAGATTCAACTCCATCTCCTTCTCTCCACGGACGGGTATACGCTGACCGGTGGCTGTTACCAAATTAATGCGTTCTCGGTTGTATGCGGAGTCCCCAAGGAACTGACTTATAAGTTGGGAACTAACAACCGTACGAGAGGCTCCAGTGTCTATGGTCAGTTTACACGGCATTCCGTTGACCTCGCCCTTGATGATTAGACTGTTCCCATCATGGGTTTGTGAGATCGAGATCCTTGGGGCTCTTTTAACATCAGCCAGCACCCGCCCCGCAGTTCTGGCTTTTACTCGTTTCCCTGCTGCTGCTGGGCGGTGCTGTTGGCCGCAATACCCTCCTGAGATCGTTCACCTTCCCTTTCTAGGGTTCGCTTAGGGCAGTTGGATCGAAGATGGCCCTTTTCCCCACAGCCATAGCACCTAGGGCTGTATCCTCTGTTGCGGTTGCGAACTGTAGCTGCTGCAACCTCCCTGATGCGATGGGAACGATGATCCTGCCGCACGGCTTCCACCTCCAGTGCATGGGCAAAGGCGTTCTTAAGCGTGTCGTGGTGCCCGAGTCTCACAGCAGCTCTGACTTCAAGGTCGCGGATGCCGTCGATGAATGTCTGAACCAGGTTCCCTTCAATGAGCGCAGGTACAGACTGGTATGCTTTTCGAACCATCTTCTCCACCTCAAGGGCCCACTGCTGCATGTTTTCGTTGCTGCGCTGCACGCGATCTTTAAGCTGCGCACGAACGATGTGTTCCAGGTGAGCATCGCCATATCTCGCTTCCAAGGCCTCAAGAAGCTGCTCGTAGGTCATTTTCTTACCGAGAGCTTCTAACACAGTTAAGGCTTGGGCGCGCAGGCGTAGAGTGAGGGCAGTCATGGCTTGGCTTTTATTCCAGTCGTTCGCCTCCATGACGGCCTCGAACTGGATTTTGTAGGCAGACCAGGAAGAGGTCCCGTCGAACGGCGGCACTTTGAATCCACGTAGCGAAGGTGTTGTAGCTACTACGGGAGCTGTTGTTCCATCCCCAAGTTTGAGGTCGTCCAGCGTTTTCTTAACGTCAGCCATTACGTTGTCAACCCGATTGTTTACTTCGGTCGATTCGGGTTTCGGCCTCCAACAGGCGGTTGTCATGTTGAGCAACCTTATCCTTCACCTCCCGTATCTCTTTTCCGAAGATAGCGTGAAGGTCCTTCATGAGGAGCATCTGCTCTTCCTTATCGCGTTGGAGTTGATCTTCTAAACGACGGGCCTGTTCCTCCTGCCGGCGGGCCTGTTCCTCCTGTCGGCGGACCTGTTCCCCCTGTCGGCGGACCTGTTCATCCTGTCCACCCCGCAGCTGCTCTTCCAACCGACGGACCTGTTCCTCCTGTCGGCGAGCCTGCTCCTCCTGTCGACGAGCCTGCTCCTGCAGCATCACCATCAGAGCACGTCAAGTCAGGTGCTGCAGATGTAGGAGCTTACCGACGGGCCTGCAGCCGGTGGCTGGCCCTCCGACGTTTGTGGTGTTGCACCACCAAATCTTCGTTGGTCCGTCTCCTGCTGGCGTTGACTTCGGGTACGGACACCCTCCGTTTCCTCCTTAGGTAAAATCGGCATGATTTTATCCCACTTCTGACACCAATTGTTACGAGCTTGAGGTTCGTGACAATAAAAATTGCCGATAGAATTACCTAAATTAACACTTTAATTTACTTTACACAAATTAAAACTTAAAACACTAATAATTAAACACACTAATTCACTTTATTCCGCTCCGAAGCTTCGCTTGTCTCGCCAAATCAACACTGCCCCGATCGCATCTTGCAGCGCCTATATATACAAATTAGCAATGAAGCATCCGGAATATTCAAGTAAATGCGCGCAAAGCGACGAGTGTGCGAGTGTAGATTTTCTAGAAACTTAGTTCTTCGGATGGCGCTGTCGGTTGAAAGATTTGTGATGTCTTTTTCTGCAAAGCTCCCCTCGATCTCGTTCCTGACACTAGATGACGCTAGTGTATGACGTTGACTTATTCATGCAACAATATATTTATTTTTACTACAGGTGCCATCAATAACTGGAAAGGAAGATGATGAGATGGAAGGGGACCAGCTCATGTTCGACTTGGATCAAGGATTTGGTCAGGGGTTTACCCAGGAACAAGTTGACGGTAAAAAGTTTCTTACAATTTTATGTTAACCTAAGATTATTTACAGATTTAACAATTTTAACTATTGTATTAGTTATGAATTGTAAGACAGGATTTGTTACATTATTGCTTATGGGGTGTGTAATGTATATTGCGTGTAATTATATGGTGTCAAATAAAAAATTAAATTAATAATATGCTATAATAATGGTAATAAAATTAGTAAACAAAAACATTAAAAATATATTACTGTTGTTAATTTAATTTTTTTCTTTAATTAAGATATGAACCAACAGCTGTCGCAAACACGTTCACAACGTGTACGCGCAGCTATGTTTCCTGAAACCTTGGAGGAAGGAATTGAGATCCCTTCCACACAATTGGATCCTGCTCAGCCAACTGCTGTCCAACGTCTTGCTGAGCCATCGCAAATGCTTAAACATGCTGTTGTCAACTTGATCAACTACCAGGATGATGCTGATTTGGCTACCAGGTAAGTTTTATCAATTAGGATTAGGTCTGTCATGTATAGAGAACCATGCATGATTTCTAAATGCTGGTATTGTAATTTTAAAATAGTTTGTTGAGCAGTGAGGTATTATCATAGAGTAGTTATGGCAAGGATCATTTGGCAAGTCAGAGTTGTTTCTCTAAGACTTTTACCATCATTGTTTATTCTTCGACCATCATTGTTCAAAGAAACTTTTGTGATACATCAAATTTCAGAAAGCTATTGTGAGTAACAGCATGAAGTGACCACCAAACAGTTACCATTACTTTTCTATGGGTGAACTTTGCTTAAGTTGCGGCATTTGTACTGGGTCCAGATATCGTGTTTTTCGCTTGCGATTATCATAGACAATCCACTTTTTATAATATGTCACAGTTCTGTCCAAAATTTCTTCATTTTATACCTTTTCATCAAAGTAAGGCAAGCTTCAACACATGACTCTCTTTGCACAACAATTTCCATCAATTCATGAGGCATCCATTTCTCGAATTTTTATTTCATGAATTTGGCGCAAATGAGTTAACCATGACGCGTTTCAAGTCAAATTTTTTATTTAAAGAAAGATTTGCCGAGCTCTCTGTTTAAGGCTTGCATTACTTATACTCACACGCAGTTACTTATAATTGATTATTTATTTAATTAATTGACTGCCTCGTTGGTCCAGTGGTTGTAGTAATGCGACTGCTGATCATGAGGTCCTCGGTTCGAGTCCCGGGTCGGGCCAAAAAAATTAATTTCCATCAAGACATTCTCAGTAGTTGCCCGGAGTCAGGAAGTTGGCGGTGTCTCACCCCCGTGCCTCGGAAAGCACGTAAAGCCGTTGGTCCCGTGCCTGATCTCTCTCCGGTTGTGTCGGTTTACCATCCCATCGGATTATGAAAGTATGGGAATAGAGAGTGCACCTGTGTTTGCGCATACACTTGGGCACTCCAATCCTGTCCTGCGCCCATGGCTAGCCTCCGTTGAGGCAAGCCGCCGTGGCCGGAATTCGGTCTGGAGAACATTATTTATTTAATATAGCAAAATAATAATTTAAAGCTAAATGCAATTTTTATTTGATAATAGATGTCGCCTGATGTGATCATAACTTTCCAAAAGAGAAAAGATGTTAATTATTTGAATCTGAAAATGATTGATAGCTTGCATCAATTATTTCTTCTGTTTTAATTTATTTTGTTTGTAAATTAATTACTTGTTAATGAAAATACAATAAATACATAATTTATATTACAGAGCCATACCAGAGTTAATTAAGCTTTTGAATGATGAAGATCAAGTGGTTGTATCTCAAGCTGCGATGATGGTACATCAGCTCTCCAAGAAGGAAGCTTCTCGTCATGCCATCATGAACTCTCCTCAGATGGTAGCTGCTTTAGTGCGAGCGATTTCCAACAGCAATGATCTTGAAACTACAAAGGGGGCAGTTGGAACTTTGCACAATTTATCTCATCACCGCCAAGGTCTTCTAGCCATATTTAAGAGTGGTGGTATACCAGCTCTGGTTAAACTTCTCAGCTCTCCAGTTGAGTCTGTACTTTTTTATGCTATAACCACACTGCATAACCTCCTTTTACACCAAGATGGTTCCAAGATGGCTGTTCGTTTAGCTGGGGGTCTACAAAAGATGGTAGCTCTGCTGCAAAGAAATAATGTTAAGTTTTTGGCCATTGTGACTGACTGCCTTCAAATCTTGGCATATGGAAATCAAGAGTCGAAACTTATCATACTTGCTTCTCAGGGGCCAATTGAACTAGTACGAATCATGCGCTCTTATGATTACGAAAAGTTACTGTGGACCACCTCCAGGGTTCTGAAGGTAAAAATTGTTTTTCTGCAAAATAAATGGTCTAATATAACAAATACAAAAAAAATTAAGTTTGTTGAAAAAAATCTTTTTACTCCACTCTTAGTTAGGTTTCTTCTAATATCATATTATTTTTCAATTTATATACTTTCACCTACATGATTTCCCCTCTATACCTTTTGAGGTATAATGATTCACGACAGAAATCAAATGGGTGAATTTAAACCTACAACATTTTAGTTTGAAGTCTGTCCCAAGAAAACACATTTCTTCTGTTCTTGTGTAATATATGTCATGCCAAAGGCTTTAATTTAACTGTGTTTATGGATTGCTGAATTCATATTATTTTATTTTTTTAGTCTATCTTAACTTTATGTTCATAATGGTTCTATGGTTGCCAATGATTCATACTTGGCAATTGTAAGTATTTTGGCACTTTTGTATTGTGAGGTTGATTAACATATTATAATGCATAAATTATTTGTTTACAGGTCCTCTCTGTATGCTCTAGCAACAAACCAGCGATTGTTGAAGCTGGTGGCATGCAAGCTTTGGCCATGCATCTTGGCAACCCTAGTGGTCGTCTTGTACAGAACTGCCTTTGGACTTTGAGGAATCTTTCTGATGCTGCAACAAAGGTTGGATTAAATAACGTGAATTGTATGAACTTACAGTAATGTTCTAATTCTGAAATATTTGTTGTTAGTGAGTGGCAGCCAAAACATAACACAAATAGTTTTAAAAACATATTCAAAAGTAATTCTAATGTTTTCAGGTCGAAGGATTGGAGGGTCTCCTCCAAAGTCTAGTGCGAGTCCTGGCTTCAACTGATGTTAACATTGTTACATGTGCTGCAGGCATTTTGTCCAATTTAACTTGCAACAACCAGCGCAATAAGGTAATATTCAAATAACTTTTATTATATTTTCATAAAAAATGTATGTAGTAAAATCGTGTGTGCAAAAATGTATGTGTAAATACATGCAGTAGAAGCAAAGAAAACTTGAAATGAAATGAAATATAAAATAAAAATGTTTCATGGTAAATGATTTAATTAATATGATAATTTTCAACCACAAGAGTGCCATAAAATTTAAGATAAAAGTTTAATTTTATAACAAATAAATATTACAACCCGGATATTAGACATGTAAAGCTTAAATTTTAGTATAGTAAATAGAAAGAATATTTTCTTTCCAGTATAATTGCTTTGAAATATCACCATCTACATAGGTAAAGTCATTTTATCTAACAAAAATTTATGGGCTCTGAATGTGGTATGTAAAATAGACGCTAGATGGCTCGACTAAACTCGACTAATTTAACATTATATTCTATCTTATTCCCTCTCAGGATTAAATTCTATAAATGTATATGTTTGTCTCTTTTTAGTGTTGTTTTTTTGTTACATTGAGTACCAAATTACAATGATTCTAAAGAACTTTTAACTTTAAAATGTGCTATAGTTGTAAGGAAATTGTTATAATGTGTTACTAGGTAAACCATAGAATACTATAATACGTACATAATAAAACGGTGGAGTGGGCGGAGCCCGTGTAGCCACTAACATGTCACTAACACGTCAATTCACACATATAAATGTCAACACAATCAATCGTTTCCAATTTTCGTGTCAAGCGTCGCTGCATGCAATTTATTTAAAAAATGGCAAATTGTGCAATAATTACGTGTCGAAATAACAGTGGGAAGTGGAATTTAAATAAAGGAGACATATTGTACAACCATTAAGTCGAAACTATTTATATTTTGTGAATATTAGAAACAAAAATAAACAAATATTTATGTGTCAAAAACTAATCAAAAGTCTAAAATGTGTTTGTAGTAGTGATAACTGATAATACGACGTAATTGCTTGTATGTGTGCTCCCGGCGACGCCAATCCTCCTACAAAGTAAGTTTGACAGTCATTCATTCTATTGTGTATTATAGTATTCTATGAGATAAACTTATTACGTTTCTTTATTTACGTGTATAAAATAATAATAAAAAAGAACATGTGTGTAGTTCACAGGCGGTACAAGTAAAACTTCCAGAAAAGGAGATTGAGATAAGAGGGAAACACTTGTATTTTTTTTTTATAGGATAGGGTGACAAACGAGCACACAGTCCACCTGATGGTAAGTGGTTGCTGCGGCCCATAGACATCTACATCTATCTTCCATTACAAATCAAAATGCAGATGCGTTGTCACCCGTGAGGACTGAGATGGAATGCCTCATTTCCAGTAAAAAGGGTCTCCGGTTCTCTACACTCACCATACGAAATACAGCAGCATTAAGCTACTATTTCACGCTGGTATTCTGTGAGAGCGTGGTCCTTCCCCGGTCGAGCCGACCCATTCGTGCTACAACTATACTACTAATATAATTGCAGCATGGCTCTACCACGTTAAAACACTTGTATACTGTATTTTATATCATTCTCTCTTAGGCTTAATCCTATAGATGTATGTTTGTCTTTGTCTAGCGTCGTTTTTTCGTTTCGAGTTTCAAATGACAACGATTCTAAACAGGTTTTCACTTCAAAAAAAAAAAAAAGCACCGTGCCCTGTATTAAAGCGATGGTGTGGTGCGTGTGCAGGTGACGGTGTACCAGGCGCGCGGCGTGGACGCGCTGGTGCGCACGGTGATGGCGGCGGGCGACCGCGAGGAGATCACCGAGCCCGCCGTGTGCGCGCTGCGCCACCTCACCTCGCGCCACGTCGAGAGCGAGCTGGCGCAGAACGCCGTGCGTGACCACTTCGGCCTGCCGGTCAGTGCAACACATTTATTTTATTTATACTTTTAGGGGAAATAATAAAAATACTACCTAAAATGGCTTAGCAAGATCCTCCGTTATGCCGAAACTATTGCAGCATTAATTTTGAAATAAATACATGGTAAAGTTGAGGATTAATGTTAGGTACTATGTTAGACGAAAACACGATTCCGTAAAATTTTCTCAATAGAAAAAAAATCCAAAGTTACCTCCAAACTGAAATATAAACTGCTGGTATTCATCAAATACTTTAAGTAGATCATGAAACTTTGCATACTAACTGAACTAACTATAAAGCAGGGCTTATGTTTTTTTTTATTACCATCATTTTTACTGTAAAAAGAAATTACCTAAACTATCGGCATCTTGAAGATAGTTTCCTGCCGCCCGATCAGTCTTGCTTCGGCTATCGCCAAAAATAAAAAGAACATTACTCGCTTCTTTTCCAATAGTAGGTTCTCACTAATAGATATACAGTAACCAGTATTTCTTAGTTTAAAGGACATACTCAAATACTAGCATCAAAATGAAGTCTAATTAAAATGTACAATATGCATATATTTAATAAGCAAATCAGGCAATAATAGCCAAATACAAAAGAGAAGCAGAATTATGCACACTACATAACTTTATTAATTATGACACAAAAAATCTTGACGTAATGTCTGCTATGCCAATACATAGCTAATATTAAACAAATCAAAATCTTGCTTTTTGCATAAATTTTTAAAATTATTACTATTTTTAACAACTTTTCTTCTTTTTTTCTTTAATTTCGTTTTGGAACGCAAAAGTAAAGTAACGAAAGTAAAAAGAATTTATTTGCCACAAAAAAAGTTGACAATCATAGGATACAGATGTGATACATCATAGTCGGTCGATAGTAGAATTTATAATTGATGAAAACTAATAAAAAAATATGGAGTAAAGTAATAATAAAAAAATGTGTGCAGTTCGCTCGTGGTAGAAGTGAAAACTTCAGAAAACTAAACTTTGGGAGGATGAGACAAATTCAGAGTAGAATAATTATAGGGTTTATTTATGTATTATAATAATGTTATTAAATTAAAAAGTTATATTTCGGTTTCGGTATTATATAAAGCGGTGTCTGACGGTGTCCTTCAAAGACGACGGCGCACTTGCGCGCACGCCTATTTCGTCGAGTATTATTATTTCCCTCATTTTGAAAGTTGGAAGTTTCGCTTTCAGTTCACCCCGAATCTTCCGGGATAGTGTGTGTGCGCATTGCCTCAAGTGATTTATTTTAAGTAAGATAAACTAATAGTTAAACAATTTTCTTACGTTGAAATGGACACTTATTAGCTAATTGACTTTGTGTGTGTAATGAGTTTTAAGTTTATTTTTTATTTTTAGTGTGATATTTACACCACTTAACTCTTGTGTTTACGCGTGTTTTTTTAACAAAATGCCAAGACAACAGCATTTTTACAGTGCGGTAGAGTATACAGACATGATCATTGAGTAATTAGACTTAGAGTGATAGTGTCATTTAAAATTCCGTTCAAAGTTGAAGCAACAACACAATGAATGTGTGCATAAGCGGCCTGTATTACGTTTGCCCGCACGCACACAAGCAAATGAGTAATGTATGCAAGTAAATGACGATTTCCCCAAAAAATGGGCAAAGTGTAATAGTAGACATAGTCTTAAAATTTATATTTAGGTTGCGTTTAGAATTATTTATTAATAATTTACAAAGAGAGAAATATAAAATTACTTATATTTGTTAACTAATATTTTATATAAAATTATATTTATATACGTAATATCACATGCTATAATAATATTCACAAATCTATTATGTCTTTATATTATTCTGTTAGAAGAGATATATTTATATAAGTATATAGTATTATATATTTATATAAATATATGATATACTTTTTGGATAGGCGTTTTGAATTAAAACAAAATAAGATTCGGAAGGAGAAAAACTATTCAAATAAAACACGAAACTAAAAATATTTATTAAGTAACTATACCCAAGTACTTAAACTAAACGTCTCTTACTTAATAAGTAATAACCCTGCATCTGCAACTTTTTTCTAAATAACTGCCGCTTCGATGACGCTATCCGCGAAATATTATCTTTTTGGATTCATATAAGAATCGAACTCTTACATAACGTTCTACAATAAGCCGCGCCTGATTTGTGTCGTGATGTTGCGTATTGATGTGCTCTTCTACAATAGGAAGTAGAGAACAACCAACGAGTTTGGCAATAACTTCGAGAGATAGCTCTTTCTCTGAATTGTTTTCCTGTGCATTATGCTTAATATGATTTCGCAGATTATTTTCAGCAATACTACAAATGGAGTAAACTTCATTAGAAATTTTCAGCAATACTACAAATGGAGTAAACTACATTAGAAACGTAAATTAGTTAGTTTTCGAGTTTTTATAAAAGTTTGGATTCCAATAATTTTTTACACTAATTTTTTTTTTATTTATTTATTAATTTATTTCAGATAACATAAGATCCATATCATTAAAATTGATTGAATGTGCAATAAATATTTATTTCGTTCAGTATCGTTATCGCGAATAAAAAAGTGGCGGTAAAAATAAACAGTTTAGTGAAAAGTTTAGGCCGTTGCCGAGCTCCATGCCGCCCGCGTGCATTGTTGCCACTCTTCCAAGAGGTCAAGGTACGTTTTCTAAACAGAGTGTTCACTTTTACTGAATTTATTTAGATATTTATTTTGTTTGAAAATTTCAATTTTTTAATTTACGGTTTTTAAATTAATATTTAATTTTATTACACTTCTATGATACTGGTATTACTTGTGATTTCGTTTATTGCCAGGATACCACATCCTTTTTCCAAGACATTTTTGTGTTTCAATATAACTATTTGTAACAAAGCTCGTATCTAAAACAAAGAAATAGGAAAATATTTACACTTCACAAAAAGTAACTTACATTGCAATTGTAATAAAAACTTTGTACTTACCGAAATTTTTTAAAAAGTTTCTATATGTACGAAGAACACCTAAAATTCTATCAATACTGATCTAAATTCAAAACACACAACACTCGCTGTCCGCCATTGGGTTACTTAAAAGTAGCTCACTCAATATGGGTGTCTAAGTTATTTGACAGTCAAATTAAAGCATAATATTTTATAGATTTTTGCTAGAGACATCTATGAGAAACCACTGGGTACTTTTATAAATTTGTTGCCAATCTCATAGACTTCCATAATCAGTCAATAAAACGGTAAATACCATAGATATATAGATATTTTTAAATTTTTTATGTACCTCTATGGTCGATCAAACCCTTTTGACACCCGTACTACCGAAGAGTTTTTTCTCTGGCAAAATGGTTTGACACTCGTAGGTAAAAGGTTAATGTAGGTAAAACCCACTTATCTCAAAACAATTATAACACAGTACATAACACTTTTTACTATAAAGGCCAGTAGACTCTCAAAAGAGCTTCATCACCACCAAACCGTAAATATTACACAACTGGATATTGAGAAACCTCTTATTGTAGAGTGGAAGGTTTTACCGTAATAGTCACACTTTGGGTGCGTTTGGCAGAAAAAAGCGCTAGCAAGCGCTTATAAGCAAAATGGCGATCGTAAGTAGTAAGCGCTGTCAAATCATAAGTAGCTATTTTCCTCCAGGACACGATGTTAGTTTTAACCGGGGAACCTAACCTAATTTAAATATATGTTTGTAAAGTATTCATATTAAAAACTTACCAATCATGAATTTTTTTAAACACGTATATGTTTATTCATGTCATTATATTACTTAAAGCTAATATTGCACAAAACAACTTATAAACTCTACTTCAAATTAAATAAGCAAAATGGCGGAAGGTGTCAGCGCTACTGAAGTTAGCAAACGTGTCCTGGCCGAAAACTATTTCAGCGCTTGTAAGCGCTTGCTAGCGCTTTTTTCTGCCAAACGCACCCTTTGCTTGCTGTTTTACTTTTGTCTTAACAGACAATGCAAGCAATAGGTGTTTTTCTTATTTTAACTTTGTTATACATTTAGACATAGATATAGACATAGGTTTTATTAGCATCAATACACTCACAAAATATACATTTAAAAGTAAATAAGAACATAAAAACATACAAGGTACAAGATGGTAAACATAATTAAAGATAAGTCTCGGCAAGAGTGAGTGATGTGATGCCAAAAAGGATTCCGTCTCAGCATATGCTACCACACGTATTGCAGCTGCGCTGATTTTCAGCGGAGCCCTGAATAGTATATATTCGATATTGCGCCCGCGTCGTTATCGGTGCTAACATTCCATTAAAAAATCAACCATTCACTCAAAGTGTACATTTTTAAGAATAAACATAAGTATTAAAAAAATACATATACATACACGTGCATATACACACTCGCACATAAAAATATATTACATTTTACATTGTACTATATACATATTAATTATTTGTATACACAACACAACACGTAACATAATTAACGCACTTTGAGAAGGTAGTTTGTTCAGAATCGTTTACTGAATCGATTCCTATCATTTTTAATATTATATTATATTATATATTATATTTTATATTTGTTAAATGGTACTTATGAAATAATCTGCCACTACACGTGAAATCATGATTTTTGAAATGCTAAAAGGTGTTTTTTTAGTTGAGCTTTAAAACTGTTTACAGATTTAGATTCCCGTAAAGGTGGTGGTAAATTATTCCAACATTTAGTGGCCATGTATTTAAAACTGCCACGAAACGCGGCTGTTCGGTGATATGGAAATGCCAGAATTTGTGTACCCGTTCTGATGCTTCGACAATCATCTGCTCTTCTCCATTTAAATTTTTGAAAGAGGTATTCCGGTCTTTCTGATTTTATGCATCCGAACAGAAGCGTAGCTAGATGTAAATCTCTCCTCAATGACATCCTTAATATGTCCGACTTATTGACTTATTAAGATATGTATTGGATGTACATGATGATATCGAGGAATATTAAAGATGCACC